GGTTTGGAGCTATGGAATTGTGCGACTGCAATCGACCGCCCAGCGGGTGCGGATGTTCGGGGTAATCCCTGCGTATCTTTAGCAAGCTGTGATGTGTTCCGAGTTATGGATGCATCTTTACGGCGGTGGATTTATTGCGACTGGTTACTGGTGTGCGGCACGGGAGCTTTCCCCCCGCTGCCACTCTCTCTGTGCGCTTGTCTACGTGGGACGACCTAATAAAACGACTTAACTATCTATCCAATCCTGTCAACTGGGTCAGCCGTGCTTGTACAGCAGCACTGGGCTTGGGACCAATCAACATGGGCTTGCTAGGAGAGCAGCACGTGAGACCCGTACTCTACCTACGATGTTCCGGCACTGACTGTAAAGGGAGCCAACCGATACGGTCGAGGCTATAGTGTGCTCCACGAAGCGGTGCGACTAGGCGACACTGTGGTGGGGATGCAGGAGTTTACAGCAGCAGGATCCAGGGTTTCCTGTCATGGGAGCGAGAAAGGTGGGACACGTGAGGTGGGGTTAGCAGTTAAAGAGTCGATGTGCCGCAACCCCACTAATACGGTCGAATATGGTACCAGCGACCGCCTCGTGGCCATGCGGTTTAAAGGACAGAGCGAGAAGAACGGAGCGTTGAGTTTGAAACTGCCTGCGCACCGACAGAGGTCGCAGATCGTGAAGAAAATAGAGTTGTGAATCGGAACGATGTACACGATATATATCGTCCGATATATATCGATATCGGTATCGAAAATTCGTGCCGATGTTCCGACCGATGTTTTCTTAGGGGCTCCGTGAATCAAATTTAGGGTATGCGCAGCAGTACGGAGCCCCTGTACGCCACACACACACAGCACAGCAGCGCAGAAACAGCAGACAACAGCACCATGTCCAGAACCAACCGGGAAGTAGACACAGGGAGAGACCGAAGGAGGGTACTGCTGAGGATACGCGACAATACATCAATCTTAATCTTTTTTTTTTTTTTCTACATTCCGTGCGATGTTTGCAGCTGAAGTCAAGCCCTTTTTGATGCCGCATTTGGGCCCATTTTGACGGGAAATGAAAGGAAAATGCACCAAATTTTCTGCCTCCGGCGGCGCCTCCGGCGAGGCCCCCTCACCAGCCGGGGGGGGCCGATGGGGGGGCTCGCTTCGCTCGCCCCCATCACGGCTCGCTGCGCTCGCCCGATATTTTCTCCGATATATCGCCTACGGCGATATATCGGAGAAAATATCGTTATATCGGCTGCTGCGCAGCCGATGTAAAATATATCGTTTTTTCGTACCGATTCACAACTCTAGAAGAAAACCATAGGTTCTGGATGAGCTCGATATCCTGATGCAGCGGGTCCCGGCGAAGGGTGTGTGTATGTGATGATGGATGCTAATGGACGAACGGGGAAGAGAACGAAGCGAGATAACCTGGAGGAGAGGGTCCTTGGCCCTTATGGCCGTGATGAGCTAAACGACAACGGCAAAATACTACTGAACTTCGCGATAGACAACAAACTGGCCATCACCACCACCCTCTTCAGCACGCGCAAAGGCGGAGTATCACACGCCTTTAACGGCGCCAAGGCCACAAGGGTGGGCGACTTCAAGCGTATTATACTACACCGACGTCACGTACGCAATGTAGTCGTACACCCCCAACCCACCTTTCCGACCAAACCGGAAACCGATCACAACATGGTCGTGAAAACTGTCGATCCCTTCGGTATCCGGGTCGCCAAACAGCCGCGCCGCGCGGGACAAGCCGAAATGACGGCTATTCAGTCGCAAAGCGCTGCAGGAGGGAGCACAGAGGGACGAGGTGGTCGTCCTCGAAAACCTTGACCAGCTAACAGGCCAGCCCAATCTGAGCGCCCCGGAAGCCGCGAGGGAATTCCCCTTAGCTATCCTTGAGGCAGCTCAGTCGGTGCTGCCGATGGGGACCCCGATACCACATACCATACCCGAGTGGTGCCAGAGTCCAGAAATGAGGACAGCATTCGAGGCAGTCCGTGCCGAGCGAAGGAAGACACGCCGGAAGACGAAAATCGACCGAAATCCAGCAACATGGAAAGCACTTCGGGCCGCTCGTAAGGCAGTACGTACTTCAGACGATGAAGGCATCAATGCCCATCTGGACAAGTATGTGGCTAAAATAGAATCCATCCTCGAGGATCGCGACATACGGGGACTGCACAAACACCTAGACGGGAGGCAGACAGGGGGACAGCAGACAGCAGCCCGTCAAAGATGAGATTCTCCAACGGTGAGCGAAGTTCTTCGGCTCCCTACCCAACGCTAAGTTCCCCACGTTGAATCCATCCATCGTCGAGGAGGTAAAGCAACGACCGAAGGTACCAACCACTGAAGGCTCGCAACGCCTGGGGTCCGCGCCATCGCTGGAGGAGACCCGGAGAGTAGAACGGGGGATGAAAAACTGGAAAGCGCCTGGTCATGATTCCCTGCCGGTAGAACTACTCAACATCGACGACGAAGACGACCCCAACGTGATCAAAAGCTTCCACGCCATCCTCGTAGAAGTGTGGAACGGGAGGGAGGTCCCGCAAGAATGGAAAGATACCACCATCAAGGTGCTCAACAAGAAGTCGGACCGGATCCAACTGCATCAACTACAGGAGGATATCCCGTCTGTCGCATGCGGGCAAGGTGCTCCTGAAAATCATCGCTAACCGTCTCGGCGAGAAACACATCTTGCCGGAAAAACAGTGCGGCTTCTGACCTGGCAGGTCAACCATCGACATGCTGTTCGTCGTACGACGACTGCAGGAGCTGGCAAGGAGACGGAGTATCCCGCTGTACATGTGCTTTGTCGACCTCCAGAAGTCCCATAACTCAGTCGACCGCGAGCTACTTGTGGCGGGTGCTGGCCCGAGCGGGGATCCCGCAGGAAATGATCGTGGTCATCCGCCACTTCCACGATGGCATGCAAACTCGGGTACGCATAGACGATGGAGAGCTTTCTGGATGGTTCGAGATCACTCAGGGACTGCGACAAGGACGTCTACTGTCTCCACTGCTGTTTAACATCTTCTCCAGGACGGATTGTGGTGAGTATCCGTGAGGAAGGAAAGAAGAAGGAGAAGGCGAGAGGATCTGTAGGGGCCGGAAGAAGGGACGGTGTTGGGAGAGGCAACGAAGTGGTGAAGAATTCCCGCATTCGACGAGCGCGCGGTCCCGTCGGGGGTGAACGGGACATGTCACTCCGTAGTCTCGTCTATAGATAACCGAAAAGCCAAAAAATGGAGGTATTCTTTATGTACATGACGATGGAGTAGGTCGATGAAGAAGGTACGACGAGAGGAAATTGCACCCCACGTTCGAAGTCGGTTTGAAAATCCGCCGCAAGGAAGGAGTGCGAAGGGAACAAAAAAAAACCGGAGACGTCGACGTTCGTGTCGTGGAATGATCCTTCCTTATAACGCAGGTACTCACGAATGTAAGACGGAGAGGTAATACTCATGGTGAAAGTCAAAGCGCAGGCCATTACTGGACATGACTCATGCGCGGACAAGTTAAGACGGAGGCTTATCAACAAGAAGTTTGAAGGCCGGCTAAGAAGGCTTGACGACACAAACACTTGAGCGACGATGGCAAGCGCAACGGTAAAACTTCACAAGATGAAAAATGTATAAAAAAAAAGAAAAGGTCGGATGCCGACCTATGGCTCTCTCGGAATGAAGGGATTCCCAGACTTTGCAACAGGTAATCCACAAGTATCGAGAAGGCCGACGACGATCAATGACACACATGTGGCACACAAAGAAGGATAGGGGAAGGAAACGCGAGGGGGCAAAAGTCGTGCTTTAACGCTATCCTTCCTGATATCGCAGGTACTCCAAATGCAAGACGGGGAGGTAAAACACCCATCGTGAAAGTTAGAGCGCGTGGTAAATAAGGCGCTGGGTGGCTGTGTGGTAGGGTTGAACGCCAGAAACCTATTGGTGGGCCTGGACGTGTGAATGACGTGGGTGTTTTCCGAATGCTGTTTGGGTGTCATACTTCTTACTTCATCAGTTGATGCTGATGTGCACCGCAAGTCGTGTATACGAGCCTTTTTCTACCCTTGGCGTCCGGCTGTTTCAACCTGATACATATTTGGGACACTCAGGCGCACGATTATGTTTTTTGGTGTTGGTTGCAGTGCGCATGGAGTCCAATACGTACTCGGTCATTCCTGTAATTCCGCAGTACGCATCATCCTCACGAGGTGTCTGGTGGGTCGGCCGCTGAACGAACAACCACTGCAGCTGTCCCCAAAAGATGAAAATCTTTACGGGTAGATCAAAGAAGAAACCCGTTTCAATTGGCAGCGCCTTCAACACGTTGTTGGGTCCTCTGCTGGTGAACTACGGTGTAGTGTTGTGATGAGTTCGCGTAGTCGAGGTGGTATTCAATGGGTCGGACGCCGGAGAACCACGAACTGGTGATCTTTGGGTGCGGTAGCTCGTCAGAGGCCGAAAGAGAAAGAAGGTTGACTCAAGACCTCGTTGCTTAGAGAGTGAGAGACATGCGGCAGGCAGCACCATCGCCATGTAGCATGTCCATCAATACATACCATACGCGAATCCCCAGCAGGCCTCGTAGACAGTATACGCTGCCGAGCACCCCAAACAGCCCCCCTGCTCGGTACGAGATACGATTTACGAAATCCCCGTCACGACTATCATTTCCAGATAAAACGGCAGACAGAAAATCAAAACCCCTATGCCAACAATATATCATCCACCATTCCAATCCAAACGACTCTACCAATAGCACATGTCCCACGAAATCGCCGGATCTTTCAACAGAACACGTCCTGCAAAGCTTTTAAACCTGTTTGATGTCAAATCTCTACTCCTAAAAGGTCTGTCCAGAAAAACAAATCACCCTCTTGAGAAACATGCTATACCAAATTCTTAAGCAGTCAAAACACGAACAATCACCCTTGGAAGCATACTTTCAAGGAGTGATGTCCTGGTGGCGGGGCTCCAGCTCCTTAAGCCGCGATCAGAGCGCCCCCTGCTTCGCCCTAGCCGCTTGGAGATACGCCTCACGCTCCCCCAGAACAGCCGCACGCTCCTCCTCATACTTCCTCGCCGCAGCAGCCAGAGCAGCCTCACGTTCGTCCTCCTGCTTCCTCGCCGCAGCAGCCCGAACAGCCTCCCGTTCCGCCAAGCGCTCCGCGTCCTCGCGCTTCGCCTGCTCTCGCGCCTCCGCCTCTGCTACCTTCCCGGCAAGACCGTCGCACCACATCTCGTTCAACCTTTGGTACGCCATAAACCCGTCCTGGGGCAAGAGGATTAGTCTGTCTTCCGGCGGGAGCGAGAATGGAGGAACGAAAAGGGGGGAATCGGACGACAGATGGGCCGCTTCTACAATATCCTCCAGAGAG